ATGTTTTCAAGCTCCACTGGCTCAAGCTTTGGTATGTTCAGCGATTGCGCACCGGGTGTGTTTTTCCTTTAATCCTTTTGGTTTTTACCGATGTAGTAATTTTACAGAGTACACAGAAATGGAAAAGTGATAGCAATCAGACTGCATATTTTTCCCCTTTGTGTGGTGCAACAGGTTTGCCTGTAGCCAGGAAACCAAGATGGCAGAAAGTTGTAAACAAGTACCTGGGACACATTCCTTAGCATGAGCGAAAGCCCACAGCTGATTTCCTCAAATCTGTTTCACTGTGAGTCAAGGTGCACAACGGGTTCAAAGTGCACCCGAGCTATGCAAACTTTAACAAGAATGGTCAGATAGTTTTCAGTGCATTCCGCAATTGTTCGTTTGGTGCAAGAGCTGTGTTTTTGGTCAAAATGAATTCCACCTAAAAATTGTAATTATTTGCTCACCAACGTGTTCAAAGCCTGAATGACTTTATTTTGTGGGACACCAATGAAGAGATTTTGAAAAAAATTTCTGTGTGTGTTTGTATTTTTGTCCATGCATTGAAAGTCAGTGGGGACCAGTGTTGTTTTGGACCCCGAAGACTTTTTTTGTAGACAAAAAAACATATTTTTCAAATATCTTAATTTGTGTTTTACAGAAAAAAGTCAGTCAGACAGGTTTGGAATGACAGTGGGTGTAATTAAATTGTATTATAAAGAAAAGGCAGAAAACGCCAAAGATAAAGAAAATGTGATGACAGAGTTTTTGGGTGATTTGAAGCTGACATGTCAGCCCCACTCTTTTTCCATTTAACCCCAATGTAATTTTGTTTATACTGAAATGGTGCAGAAAAGTCAACAGCATTGAGCTGAGCAACTGAACGGAAACAAAAGCCGAGGCATAACAGATGTTTCCATGCTCATGCCTGGTCAGCTGGTCTTTCTTGCACAGTGTGGTGCATCAAAGGCACTGATTAAAAATGACAAATATTTCTAATCCTGACCCAAAACTGTCAGCAGACCCACCTCCCTCCATCCCCCAGCATGCATCTCTCAGATGGCTGGTTCTCACTGCTGAGCAACAGTTAGTTGACAGGGTATTCTAATGTTAGTGGCTGGTAGGGCTGCACGATTAATCAAAATTAAATCGCAAAGGCGATAAATCGCGATTAGCCAGAAGCTGCTATTGTCATGTGTATCTTTCAGTGAAGCACGGTTCTGTGATCCGCAGTAAATCTCCATCCGAAGGCCAGAGGGCGCTCTCGCGCTGAAACTCCAAATACGCCCGCAGGAGAAATCAGGAAATCCCTATAGCGGTTGCCGAATAAATAGAAGATTTAACTGCTTTCATTGATTCAACATGACTAATAAACACATGACTACGACAACATGGTTTATCTGAGTTTGTCTTATAATTTTTATTATAATAAAGTATATAATATTGCAATGCTAATTAACATAGCCCTTATACTGCTTAGAATACTATGAAATATGTTGCGTGCCTTATTCCGTGTAAGAAGCCACATCATCTCACAGATTTATTTCAAACACTCGACTGACGTTATGAAGTGTGTTTGGAGTAAAAACATGTTATTAAATGTGGTATTTTCACGTGCTTTCGGATGGAACAGCATTTACTACAGAGAGTCGTTGTTCACTGACAAGCTACACAAACAGCTTTCATAATCGCAGAACGATTTCTTCGATTTCATTATCGCGTGATTGTATCGTCTGCGATTATGAACACAATTTTGCGTAGCTTGTCAGTGAACTATGGCTCTGTGTAGTAAATGCTGCTCCATCTGAAAGCACGTGCTGGAGATTTACTACTAATCACAGAACCGGCTTTACTAACAAGATGTGCATGACAAGCGCATTCGATTAATCATGCAGCCCTAGTTGCATCCCTAGTTATTTGTATGAGTGTAAGCTAGGGTGGCCACATGTGCCGTTCATACAGGACACGTCCTGGCCAGGATTTCTACTGATTACAGAACCGGCTTTACTGACAAGATGCGCATGACAATCGCATTCGATTAATCATGCAGCCCTAGTGGCTGTACTTGGTAATGAGCTTGGTAATTGACAACCTTCCTGTGGCAAATGCACAGAGCTGCTGAGGTGTTGCCTGCCCTCTAGACATTAAGCTTTACTAATACTACTACTAATAATAATATGCTGCTTGGAACTGTTCGAAAATTTTGGTTGGGTAATTTACGTGTAATATTAGTGCTAGTGTTAGTCTATATGTAGCTTTTTTTGGAGTAGCTGTGTATTTTTGAGTAGTCTTCCTGGTTCCCTGATATTATGTATCATTCATATATATATATATATATATATATATATATATATATACAAACCTAGCGACTTTTTTGGATAAACCTTAGCTATGGTTCAGTTGGAAGATTTCGCCAGTGCTGTCCTGCGAACGCGAGGTCTGACTTTACCGGAGAAGTGTCACCTCTCTTGGCGTCTGTTTTGTGCAGTGAGCGGCAGAGAAGCAGTGCATTCAGGTGGCCGCACCGCAGCCGACTCGTCAATAAATGAGTAAAATAAAATCTAGCCAAAACAACCGCATAGCCGCTCTTTAGTGTAGATGCATGTTGATTTTATCAGACGATGCCGCGATTATAAATGAGTGACTCCTGGTTAACATGTATTAAAAGGGGTCGTGTTTAGTCCCTATTTAGTGGGGTATTTTTTGACAATATTCACTCATCATAACAGTAAAATAGGTAATTCTAAGTCAATATACTGCAGTATTTCCTCTCTCAATCAGTAGAAAATATGGTTAACACCCGGTCATGCATGAAAAAAAAATACCGCCATGTACCGTGAAACTGGTATAATTTTGGAAAATACCGTGATATACATTTTTGGTCATACCACCCAGCACTACTTGCAGGCCTAAATCAGTTTTGTGTTTTGCCAGATTGGGTTTGTTACATGCCGTTTGTTTACATATTAAATTTGTCGGGGTAAACCAAATACTAAGACATTTAATGTAATTGTTTTGACTTTTCACTTAAATTCTTGATTAAATTGGAAAAAAAGTAAAATAAAAGCATTATCATTTGTAGTCTCAGACTTTTGGATCTACTGCTTATGATAGAATTAGAACATTAGAAACATCAGATGCCTCATACTTTGTTTTGTTGTATTTGTAAAGTTGCAAACATGTTGTCTAACCACATAAATGCAGAGAAAGCATTCTTGCGGCCTGCCCTCATGTACCACACTGGGCGGAACTGTTTTGTTTTGCCTCAGTGTGACATTCTGAAAACATGCGCTCAGGTAAATGGAATGTTATCTCGCTCTCTCTGATAGGAGACTGGCCGTCATCGGGATGTAGCAGCGTGCTTTTATTGTCGGGCCTTGAGCATGGTGTGCTGTTAGTTGGAGCCTCATAAATAACTAGGGAATTTATGGAGTGCGCTGAATTAAAGTGTCTGACTCATCAGTTAGATATGTCCTGTGTTTGCACTCGAATGTGTGCTTTGTCATTTTGCATTAGACCATGGGTCCTGACTCCTGAGTCTTTGACTTCATAGGGTTTGCTAGAGTTTCAAGAAAAGAACGGGAGACCTGTCTGAATCCTTTCTGCAATTCTTGTTTTACGTTTAAAAAAGCAGGCCATTGCACCATATTCATTCCATTCCTTCCTAATCATTCTAATGCGCAAATCTCAACATCATGCTTTGGGATTGGGATTTTGAGCTTTTGAGTTCCCTTGGCCCTTGTCCATTTAAAGAGCTCAGATACTCAGGCTTAAGCTCAGAGCTTAATGTCACCCATTCAGATGAGATGTCAGTGAGTCTGGAGAATTATGGGATGAGAAAAAGATGAGTGTTTCTCACTGTAGCCATGTTCTTTGTTGTGTCGCATGAGTTTCTTTTCTCAGAGTTAAATTTAGAACAGGCCAGTGGGGGTCTCTCAGCACAGTTTCATTATTCATAACATGAAAAAGGAGCTAGTTCAGTTTCACCCTCTTTGAAAGTCTTGAATCGACGGGAAGGCAGCAGCATGCGCTCACTTGCTGCAGACAACTGTAAGATGATTTGAATGAATTGAATGAAACTGCTTGCCTTGGAACTGAAGATATATAAGTCCAAGCCATTCCATATATATAATATACAAAATTAAGATAAAAGTATCTCTTATAAAGAGCAGACTCTCTATAAAAGTATAAAGTTTATGTAATATAAAAGTAGACACTTTCAAGTTGTCAAATATTGGTGGTCCATCGTTCATGTGATGAGTAGGACACCTGTGAGGACTTGAGAAATGATACATCCACTGAAAACTATTCAACACCAGTCGGTTAAAAGTCATTGCAAAAATGGCTCAGAAAAGTGGTTAGTTCTGAGAAAATAAGCATTTGTTTGCAGATGCCACTTCATTTTATATTGTGTTTCTTATTTAATAAATGTATATATTACGTGTGGCTTATGTGACTTATTTTTTGTTTAAAATGGATTAATCCTTTAAATATGCTGCACACATCAGATTTAATGTGGAATGTTCCCGATAATCTGAGAAGCACAGAGCTGAATTCATTGCATAACCCTGCTTCTGGACGTAACGGCATCAGAAAATACTCCTCTCAAAGTCTGAAAGTGGAAGTATTCGAAATTGGGAAATATGACATTCCTGCTCTGCACAAAAACAATGCCTGAACCCAAACTTAAATCTTTTGTGGTGGTTGAAAAACTCATAACAGGTTAAGAAAAAAAAGATATATATATATATGTTAAGATATATAGAAATGTTGCAAGAAGTTGTTCTCATTATTGCACCATATACCGTTCAAAAGTTTGGTGCATTAAATTGATCAAAAGTGACAGTAAAGACATTTTTAATGTTATAACAATATTTAAAATAAATGCTGTCCGATTAAACTTTCTGCTCATCAAAGAAACCTGAAAATTAGATCACTGTTTCCACAAATATATTAAACCGCACAATTTCCAAAATCATTTTTCAGGGATTGTACAGTGCAATAACTTTTATACTAACTATTGACCTGTTTGTAAAATTACCTTATCAGTAGGAGTCAGGAGTATAGTAAGTAATTTAGGACAAACGTAATAGCCTAAATATATATTTTTTTTTTCAACCCAAAGCTAAAAGTTTTTTTTTTTTTTTTTTTCAAAGTATTGTTACCTGATGCCTTTGGTTAGCATAATGATTAGCATCCTTCTTATATCAGGTTTGTGATAAACCTCCTACCCTAGGCTCTTTAAATTTACTCTAAAATCTCAACAACTCTTTCTTTTTAATTGATTAGTCTAGCTAACGAGTGCCAACAGCACTCTCCACTGAAGCACTGAAGTTCAGCCAGACTACTTTGCTAGCATTAGCGAACACCTGCTAATAAAAGTTTTAGCGTGCTGTTTTTGGCCAAGTAAGTGTCCCAATTGCTCCAAAGCACTGGGCTTGGAGAGCCACAGTGTGTTGCCTCAGAAACCTCCAGGCGATGGGTCAGCAGGACCTGTGGAATGCCCGGCTTGGGTTTCCGGCTATTGTGCTCGGCCAGCACACTGGAGGTGAATAGCCTGACATTCCTCTGATGCCCCTCCCCCCACACACATGCTTGTGCCACGCACAAATTCTCAGTTATATGCTGGAGTGACATCCCCACAGAAAACAGGCATGAAGTGTGGAGGTCCAACATCACACTGTTTTCCTTGTGATTGTCCGTTGACTGACAGTTGGATTCTCTATTTGATTTTCCAGGCAGACTAAGCCTCTGACTTTTGCAGACTGTATTGGAGATGAGCTGCCTGTGGGATGGGAGGAGGCCTACGACCCCCACGTTGGAGCCTATTATGTCGACCACAATACCAGTAAGTTGAGCAAGATTCAGCCCACCTCACGAATGCACAGGAGTATATAGAGTGTCTGATATGTGATTCTGTGGTTTTAAACAGATTAAGTGTCATATTTAATTTGACACAAATGAAAACAAGGCTTTGAGAGACAAAACCGAATTCATTCAGTGGCCCTCATTCATGAAAAATGACTAGAACAAATTTCTTTGTAAATAATTTGTTACAAATGCCCAGTATACGTGGACACACCGATCTAAAAGTGTTGTTTTAGTATTATTTTTTACACAATTATAGAATTCATTAATATTTTGAATTAGCTTTTTTATATTTACAGTTTTAATTTTTGTTGAAGTTTTAATAATTTTATGTGATTATGTATTTTATCATTTTTATTTGTTTTTATTTTGTAAGTTTATTTAGTTTTAGTAGTTTACCTCAATTTAAGTTTATTTTATTACAGCTGATTGCCAAGAGAACATTTCTAATTTCTCTTAGAAATTTCTAGTTTTTCATATAATATTTATTGTTTATTTCAGCTTTATTTCATTTATTGAAAATGATTGTTAATGGTTTTAGTTAACAACAATGCAACTGATGAGCACAGTTTTTTTGCTGCTTAATATTTTTGAGGAAACTGTGATACGTTGTTTTTCAGGATTCTTTGATGAAAAGAAAGTTAAAAAGAACAGCATTTATTTGAAATAGAAATCTAAACAGCAAAAACTGTTTTCAACATTAATAATAAGAAATGTTTCTTGAGCATCAAATCAGCATGTTAGAATAATTTCTGTGTAATGGCTGCTGAAAATTCAGCTTTTCCATCACAGAAATAAATTACACTTAAAAAAAATGAAAACATTGCATTACTGTTATTACTGTATTTTTGATCAGATAAATGCTGTCTTGGTGAGCATAAGCGACTTATTTTAAAAACATCACAAACGTTTGAACAGTAGTGTATTTATAAGTCGAATTACATAAAAAATGTTTAACTTCATTGGCTATAAACAAGTTTGTGTATTAAGGAAAACTAATTCTGATTAATCTGTTCAACATTTTTAGAATTATTCTCCTTTCACATTGTCATAAAATTTGTCACGCACTATAGGTCAACAATGTGAAAAATAAAAATGAATAAATATTACAAATATAGACAAATCAATGCCCCCCCACCACCCAGCATTTTTTTCTACATTATATCTGTAGTCTATATTTTATATATGTTTTATAAGTTTATATTTTTAAACCTTCTAGGACATAGTAGTAATGTTTATTTAAAAAACACATATCTGTTAATCTTATTTTTTCTTTTTTTCACAATCTGAAAAGTTATAGTCCGAGAACTTTGTCACAATGTTGATAACATAAAGAGAAAATCAAGTGTGAAGATTAAACATGTTTTGTCCCATGTCACAAGAATCAAAGAACAGTCATAATTGAAACCAAATCATCTGCAAAGATAAGATGGTGAGAGCTGCATGCTTAATTGATGAGGTTGGAGTCTTGAATTCACTTTAAAATATTTGTGCAGCCCAACCGGCAATGACCTCACTCTTTTGCAAGCAAATTTTGTTTTTATTTTAAATGAAAGGCTATTATAATGAATATAGATTTGACACCGTCTGTAGCATTATTATAAATCGCTATGGAATTCCAGAGCTGTGCAGAGTGGTTTTACAGATAAGATAAAGCCTTTGAACTCTTATCTTTCTACAGTAAATTCCAGGTCCTCATCAAGCAGTAAATATGACCCTGAGATCCTCAAAGCGGAGATTGTTACAGCAAAAAGCCGGGTAATACTCTGTTGTTTATTATGTAAGACACAAATTGGGTGTAATCTTTGCGGCACGCTGTACATCATGGATTTCAGATGTGATGACAAGAAGCGAGATTACACTTAAAGCTAAATGTAAGATGTCTTGAAATTATGCAATTGTCTCATTCATTCACCTGCTCACTTTCTCTCTGTTGCTGTCTTTTGTTCAGGTAAATAAGCTGAAGAGAGATTTGGCCTGTATGAGGCAAGAACTCCTTTATAAGGAGCAAGGCTTTGAGACGTTGAAAGAGTAAGTGTAACCTGACCTTATTGCACGATCACGTTCCAGACAACTGATTGCTTCCTTGTTTAAACATATTCCAATCTGAAACCACCTTGTCTTTGTGCAAGACAAAAATAGATCATCTTATCTTTTGGCATTTTATGAGCCCATTGGCACTTTATTGTGATGGAGCACTTTCACATTTGGTTTGTCTGTGGTTGATATTTTTACTATTTTTCAGAACATCAGGCACCTCAGTGTGAAGTAGGGTTGTGACGGTGAGGAAATTTTCCCACTGGTTAATCGATGTGTGACAACACCGATAATATGATTCTGTGGTTTTAAACAGATTAAGTGTCATATTTAATTTGACACAAATGAAAACAAGGCTTTGAGAGACAAAACCGAATTCATTCAGTGGCCCTCATTCATGAAAAATGACTAGAACAAATTTCTTTGTAAATAATTTGTTACAAATGCCCAGTATACGTGGACACACCGATCTAAAAGTGTTGTTTTAGTATTATTTTTTACACAATTATAGAATTCATTAATATTTTGAATTAGCTTTTTTATATTTACAGTTTTAATTTTTGTTGAAGTTTTAATAATTTTATGTGATTATGTATTTTATCATTTTTATTTGTTTTTATTTTGTAAGTTTATTTAGTTTTAGTAGTTTACCTCAATTTAAGTTTATTTTATTACAGCTGATTGCCAAGAGAACATTTCTAATTTCTCTTAGAAATTTCTAGTTTTTCATATAATATTTATTGTTTATTTCAGCTTTATTTCATTTATTGAAAATGATTGTTAATGGTTTTAGTTAACAACAATGCAACTGATGAGCACAGTTTTTTTGCTGCTTAATATTTTTGAGGAAACTGTGATACGTTGTTTTTCAGGATTCTTTGATGAAAAGAAAGTTAAAAAGAACAGCATTTATTTGAAATAGAAATCTAAACAGCAAAAACTGTTTTCAACATTAATAATAAGAAATGTTTCTTGAGCATCAAATCAGCATGTTAGAATAATTTCTGTGTAATGGCTGCTGAAAATTCAGCTTTTCCATCACAGAAATAAATTACACTTAAAAAAAATGAAAACATTGCATTACTGTTATTACTGTATTTTTGATCAGATAAATGCTGTCTTGGTGAGCATAAGCGACTTATTTTAAAAACATCACAAACGTTTGAACAGTAGTGTATTTATAAGTCGAATTACATAAAAAAATTTTAACTTCATTGAAAAATCATGATTCCAAACTTTTGACCGGTAGTGTATGTATTCCACTAATTTAAGATATTTTTATCTCTCCCTCCCACAGAGAGCACCCAGTTGGAGGATCCGCGGGCTCAGTGGCAGCGGGAGCAGGAGCTCATGTTGCGGGATTATCTGAACGTGGTTCAGGAAGCATTGAGTGCCCAAAAGGAGATCTACCAGGTCAAAGAACAGCGACTTCACCTGGCCCAGCAGGAATATCGGCAGCTAAATGATGCTTGGCGGGACAAGTCGTCCTCACAGACTAGCTGTAAGACTTGTGACTCTGTACCTGTGTCTGTCACTTAAAGATTGTTCATATTTCTGAGCTACTTGACACTGATTCTTGAGACATGGGATAAAACAGGCTATAAACAAGTTTGTGTATTAAGGAAAACTAATTCTGATTAATCTGTTCAACATTTTTAGAATTATTCTCCTTTCACATTGTCATAAAATTTGTCACGCACTATAGGTCAACAATGTGAAAAATAAAAATGAATAAATATTACAAATATAGACAAATCAATGCCCCCCCACCACCCAGCATTTTTTTCTACATTATATCTGTAGTCTATATTTTATATATGTTTTATAAGTTTATATTTTGCTTTCCTTTGCTTTTAAATAGCTTAAAAGCACCGTGCGCATTTTATTTATCGAATTAGCCGCAATTCGGCATCAATTACTTGAATGCAACAATCAAATATAACGTCAAACTCACTTTAGCCTATATATAAAACATAGAACTTTTATTAACAAAACGAATAAAAATACACCATGCTATAGGGCAAATATAAAATATATTATATATTATGACGATGAATGAATATGCCTAATATAAAATAACAAATAACTTACATAGTTTAAATAGGTATACAAAACTGGAAATAGGCTAAGTAAACATGTATAATATATAGGGCAAGTGACGTAACCGGTGTTGCGGCTTAACACAGGTATCACCGTCAGCACCGTCTTATCGCGGCAAGCCTAGTGTGAAGCTATTCATATTTCATATTATTTCATGGTTGATGGATTGTCTTAACAGCTAGTCTGGTGAAACAAGCAGTTTTGTCATAATTATGGAAGAAATACTGAAAATATCTTATATGCCTATATGCACTCTCAGATAAAAAAACGTACAAAAGCTTTGAATCTAAAAAAGTTGAGAACCAATGTTTTAGACTGACTCAAACTCATCTTTTTGAATAAGTCCTTTAAAAGAACCAGGTTTTGTTCTTGTTTACAATCTTGGAGTTTTAAGAGTTGATATCGTGGTCATTCAAATGAAGATCTGAAAAACAATTCTGTTCTGGGCTGTTGACGGCATGGAAAAACAATAGTATAATGCAAATAATAACATTTCTACTTGCTATATATCTTTGGTTGTTTATGTCAAAGGCTGTCCATTTTTTGGAACTATTTTGGCTCAAATCTCGTATTTTGACTTTTGTGACAGTTTTACCATACTGACTGTTACTCATAAGTGCACATTAGCAAAATTTCAGTGAAATATTTACAGCAAAAACAATTTTTTCTTTGTTAACGGTGTTGTGATTTACAAAGCAGAGTTTACATACAGATCAACTTCAAACCAAGCTACTTTCTGCTGGTCAATTATCTGCATGACCAACGTGAAACTGAATCTCCGAACCTTCATTTGGAAATCGTTCACCATACACAAAATTCCTGATTGCATGGACTCCTATTCCTATGACTGGATTTCAGCCCCAGAAATTCGCTGAACAATGGTAATTTTGACCGTACCTTTTGTGAGCTCTGTGAATCAGGAATCCAGAAAAAATAACCTAAATAAACATGTCAAATAATAGATAAATCAATAATAGACCAGTCCGTTACTGAATCACTAGTCGACCCTTCTTACTACCCCTGCTTCATATCAGGAACAGATTGGGCTCTTTTTGTATGTGAAAGGGTGTTGAGATGCTGGGTTGATTCCTGTTGACTGTCTCCCTCTCGATCTCTTGCCCAGAGGAATGTGGACTAACCTGTTACTCAGGTCTGCACATGACTTACCGATGACTCTCTTTACATGCACACTTATGCTAAACAGACCCCCCCCCTGTATTCTTGCCTCTAGTGGAGCTTGTCATTTCAGGAAATTGCAAAAAATAACATTCAACAGGGGCGTATACGAAGTTTCTCCATTAATGCATTCTATGGGACCTCATGCCGTGTGATGGGCACCCAGCCTGCGGGATAGGCAAACATCTCAAAGACAAACTTTTGCACAGAGTTAATCCTTATATTCTTTTTATGTTCTTGATGGCTCATATTACTGCTAAGGTGGTTTGGTAGTAGCCGTAACTAATTGCTCTGGGTATCAGTTGGCTTCAGATGTGGGGAAGCATTTTGGGACAGTACCAGAGATACTTTGATAGTGATGCATGTGACTGACAGCCGATTTCAGCAGTAAGTATGTTAGGAGTTTGACTTGTTTTTGTGAATTGGTTCATTCATATGGTTTGTTTCGATTCTAGGGCTTAGCAAATAATCAAAATAAACCTGGAATCACGATTATGGCTTAGTGATCATCAAATCGCAAAGGCTGCGATTTAATTGAACATATGCACTGGGTGTTTCAGAGTAAAGCGCAGGGGCGTCACTAGATCCTTTTCACTGGGGCACGAGTCCCCTGTAAAGTACCGCTGTGCCCCAGTTAGGGCTGGGCGATATATATAAAAAAATGATATCTCGATATTGTCAAAATTTTCACGATATTCGATATATATCTCGATATGTTTGCATTAGCTTTTAAATAATAAAAAAAACATGCCCCCATTAAAAAAACAACAAAAACAATTTAGGTAGAACAGCTACTTTTACAAATTAAATACAAAATGTTTAGTGCAAATTTAAGCAGTTAAAAAAAATCTAGACCAAGTGATCACTTACTGCTTTTTCAAAAATTATCAACAAGTAGTGCAAAACAAGTACTGAAAGTGTATTCTGTCAACTTTTTTAGTGCATGCAATTCACAATTTACACCGTGCAACTGGGGGAAATAATTAAACTGCGATAAGTATTTTTTTTACAAGTTTTTAGCTAAGCGCACAAGTCTGTCAATTGTCTTTGGTTTAAGAGAAGCTCTGTGGCATGAAACTATGTTCAGATGGGGAGCTAGTTGCTGGAACACATAGGTATTTCTTAGCTAATTTAGCAAATTTGGGGAAATGTGCCTCATGGATGCTCCACCACCATGAGCACAAATCAATAGAATGTGGACTCATACATGGTTTATTTGACCCCATCTAGTGTACAGATTCATTATAGGCTTATATATATATATATATATATATATATATACATATATATATACATATACACACATTAATACCAAAGACTTATGCACTATCTCTATATTATGTCTATATTATGAAAACTGGTAAAACAAATGAAAAATATTATAACTAATAAATTCCTAATAGTAATTACAAATTGTCATAGCCTATGTTTCTCTATTAAAACAACAGCGGTTGAGTAAGTGCATTTATTCAGCGATCACAATCGCAAACAATACAGTCGAGATCTCATGACAGAACACAGACTGGTTGAGTGACACTTTCATTTTGATCGCTAAACTCCAGCTTGTTTGTTGGTGTTTTCAGCTCATCGTCGGCGGCGCTTCCGCAGTGAGGAGCGAGCGTTTGCGCATGGTTGCCAGATTGCTTAAAATATAGGCAGAAAATATGTCCTTGTAACAGCGAAGCTCTGTTTCGGGGATTTGAACTCTTGATATCTGGCAACCGCACTCATGAAAGCTCGCGTAGTAGAGGTGTGTACAGTAGAGCAGTCCGCAATATGTTGTCTCCTTTTTTAAACATTCGGCGCGTTCTTTTGGGAAAGTATGCTTGAATTTAAAATATTCGATATTCACGATATTTTCACATTTTACATCGTCGACAAAATTATTGCGATATTATCGCTAATATTGGATATATCGCCCAGCCCTAGCCCCAGTATGGCAGTAAAGATTATGATGTAAACCGACCTGAGAATCACTGTTTTTGCTAATATGTCAGCAATCAAGTCATGCGTTATTTCAGCTGTATAGAATCGGTGCTAGTGATACCAGATTTGCAAATGATCTAATTGGTTAAACAGGTTTGTAAAAAGATTTTAAATTGTTCGCATTTCAGTTTGTTTAAAGGTGCTGTATGTAAGTTTTTGACTCTACTAAAGCATAAAAATACCATAATATGTTTGCAGATATTTAAGAAACATGCTAAGTTAACATACTTGTTTATCTGAAAAACAATGCTACAGCCAGTTATTCTCCTTTGAAAATGTGCTTTCCGGGCCGGTGTGTCGGTCTCTGTTTTGGTTTGTGAAACCCGCCCACTGCCAGTTTACCCAATTGTATTTCGGCACCCCAGGTTGCCAGTTGGCGGAAAACACAGCGTTTTTCATTTCATTCATCGTCAAGTGCGCTCGTTCCTGTTGATGTCGTGAATCTGGCAACCTGCGTGTGAGTCACGTCTGAGGAGGAGGGGCCAGCCGGGTGAAAAAAACCCTCTCCAACATTTTGAATTTGGACTGCAATACCTAGTTCAACCACTCGGTGTCAATCCTACATACAGCACCTTTAATTAGGACAGTTCACTCAATAAAATAAAATTAGTAGTAGTAGTATTTTAAGTGCTTAATTGTTTTTATTTTAAAGTGAAATATTGATTATTTTGTTTTGTTTTTTCATTTAGTGATAATAAAAAATAATAATAGTCATTTTATTTTACAGTACAAAAAATGAGTCACTGATTCAAGTCAAGTTCCAAACAAAGTGGCCCTCAGAGTTAAACGAATTCCGAGTGTGATGCAAATGGTTCAACTGAATCATTAAAAGGAACTGGTTCAAAAGAATAATTCGGTCGATTTACAATTATTGCAAATTGACTTTTTTGTTTTACTTTGACTTTCATCAGAATCGATTACAAAGTGTCCAGTGCCTCGCATGGCTACAAACTACATGAAGCCCAGGCCATCCTGAAGGAGGTGAAGAACATTAAAGATGCCATCAGCTCTGGGGAGAAGGAAAAACAGGAGCTCATGCAGGTAAAAATTAAGCTTGATCTCTTTGAACCTTAATTCAGTTCTCAGTACATTCCCTGAGCAATGACAGCCTGAATGAAGCGTTTAAACATCGCCTAGGCCACAAAAGGTCAAAACGTTACACCTTGACAGTGTTCTGGGAACACATTCCTGCATTCTTTCATCATTAGGACATTGTGAAGAAATTTTTGTCTCAGTTCCAGATGTTCATATACACATAGTCAGGCCAGTGATACGCCATAATGGCTAAGCACACACTAGAGAAGTAGGCAAACTATTCTATCCAAATAAAAACCAAAGTGAAGTGCTCTACTCGATGCATAATGATCTGATTGTCATAATAAGCTAATGTGTTTAAGCAGATAGGAGTGGCTGAGTGAGGTGGGGCTTTTCGCTGAAGACAACGATCACAAACACATACTTTTACTACCATTATTTGTCTCTTACCCCCACAAAAATGTGTATAATTATTTGACATAAAACAGTTTTGTATATGCAAATAGAAGCAGCACACTCAAACTTTGTGAACCATAGCACTTTTTCAAGCTTTTCACAAATTAATTATTTTATATGGCTCCCATTCATATCTGACTTTTGTTGTTGATGTGTCGGGGAGGTATTGGGTTCACAATATTACTGTTTTTATTGTATTTTTTAATCAAATACATACAAACTTGTTGAGGATAAGAAACATTCAAAAAAATCTTACTGACTTAAACTTTTGAACATATATATATGTGTACTACCTTACTATCTTTAACTGTAAACTTGTGACTTTTTTTTCATGGCATCACAACAGTCAAATTCATAAAATAATAAAAAATAAAAAAAATTGAAAAATTACACTTTAAAAACGGCATTAAAATTAAAATTATTTGAAATTGACAAAAATGTACAGTACACATACATATGTCAAGAATTTAGATAAAAATTTATTCTCAATTTAAAAGAGGATAGAATGTGAATCAGTCCAAAATGTCCACCACATGATGTGTTTCAGTAATGAAACTGATAAAAACATGAGTGAGTCTATTATTTGGTTATAATGATAATTCATGTAATGTGACATGGGTGAATGTGAGGATCCGTTTGTTTGATCTGAGTGTTTGCACTAGCATTGCGGAGTCTGAAGTTTCCTTGTTTGCATAATGTTTTAACCTACTGCTCTTGAATGTAGGCCTAAAGAAAATATTTGGTTATGTACTGTTTGCCTCCTTAACGTAATGTACAAATCAGGTTTTACTGGAGGCTTAAATTTCGTCAAGTTTGCTTGTGCTGTTTACGTAATTGGACTCATTGCTTGTAGTAAAGCAAATTCAAAGAAACCAGTGAAGACAAAGTGTTTTGCCTCCCGTTGGCCTCCCATTTTGAGGCCCTATCAAAATTCAACCTCTTTTTAGAAATTTGTTTTAGATTTCCTAGTATATATATATATATATATATATATATATATATATGTATATAAAATTAGCGCGTTAACGCAGGCGATTATTTTTTTCAGTTTAACACGTTAAAAATATTTAACGCAATTAACACAGGGGCGGGGCTAGGGTTGGCCCTGCTTCTGTCACTTTTTCTCTTGACAAGAAGTGCATTTATTCAGTCGCAGAACGACTGAGAACGGGAGAAGTTTCGCACGCGCGCTCCACTTCACTTCAGCGCAGGGCTCCAGACTGCGACCATTTTTTATGCCGGTGCGACTAATTTTTGTGAGTGGTCGCACTGGCGCGACCACCGCGTTATCCAACTCATACGCGGTGCCATTTCTGTTGCATTTGAGAAACAGCAAACGAAACGAAAGCGAAACTAAACCGCGCTACTCGTTTGAGCTGTGCAGCACGGACAGTTTATCAGCTCGGACCGCGACGCAAACAAACTTGTCCGAGCTCAGAACAGCTTTACTCGGGAACCAAAGTTGATTTCGCTACACTGTTACTGCACAGATGCAACAGTGCTGCAAGATCCAGTGAGAAGCGTTTGAATTCGCCGCACAATGATAAGGTTGCTGCGAGATCTAGTGAGAATCATTCAAATTCTGCACAGAATTCTCTGTTATAAACAGCACTGACATACGTCAGGAAACCAGAAGCGGTAACGCTAACTGTAACCATGGTGTTGTGGTAGAAATAGTCGAATGCATTATATCATTCATTTCAGGGTTTGTACAACCTTTTGAGAGAGAAATTCAAGCACTTTTCAATGACTTTCAAGCATTTAACACAACTATTTCCAGCACTTTAAAGCTCTAAAATTATCCAGTTTGAATGTTATTTTTAATGGGATGACCAAAATATACTTTGTGGTAAACAAACACTTATGTAAAATGTAAAAAATACATAAAATCACAATTATAACCAGTAGACGGCAGCAGAGGAGTATTTATTGTCTTATTAGTCATTCATTTCTACTTTTTCTCTATATTTTGAAATGATAAAATCACTATTATAAAATATCAAATCATCAAGAAATCAGATTTTGTCAGAATTTTACACTTTTTTTGTGTATGAAGTAAGAAAAGTCACAAAGTGCCTTGAAAAACAAACTTTTCTTCAATTTGCTACCAAATAAGTGCCTTGAAAAGCAAACTTTTCTTCAATTTGCTACTAAATCACACATAATAACTGAAGTTGGTCAGTTCCATATACTAGAAGAATAATGGTACATTTAATAAGAGTGGAATATATAAATGTTCTATATAAAAATTATATTTTGCACCTGTTACTGTTGTTAACAAAAGTTAATTTTGTATGCATCTTAACTCTAGCTTAGTGCTTTACTGTCAAATCTGTATAAACAATAAACAAAAGAAAAAGAAACAAGATATGAACATGTAATATTATTAGTAACTGCACTTATTAATGCAAAACAATAGTAATTTTATGATTAAATGATCTATATTTTAATACCCCCACACACCCCCCCCCAGCGCTACCAAATCTGCTCCTGGCGCCACCATCTGTAGAACTTAGTAGCGCTGGTGCCACTGCTCTCAAATGTTAGTCTGGAGCCCTGCTTCAGCGCCAGGTGCGAGTCAAGCGAGCGCGGAAACGGTACTGTGCTCGCAGCGCATGCTGTAATATATTTTATATGAGTCACATTATGAACATGTCTCTGAAATAGTTTTCAAAACTGTCCTGGAGCAGCCCAGCACTGTCTCACTCATCTAACACACCCAATTTAACTCATTTAGCTCATTAATAGAGACTTTAAGACCTGAAGTGGGTCAGAAAAGGTAAAAAGAGTTGAGAGAAAATATGATGCGTGATCGGTTATCCAGATCGAGAAGTCAGCTGATGTTGCTAAGTTTAAACGCGCCGTGTCCTCCTGATTTAAGTGTAAACGCAGCCTATTAATCAAAGGACAAAGAAAAAAAAGAGGAAAAAATAACTTTTGTAGCTTTAAGGATTCATCTATATTTCATTTAGAATTTAGTGTTTGACAACTTCAATGTCTGTATATTTCTGCTGAAGTGCACAGGTAAATATGACATTTATTATAATGGGTTTATGTGAACATTGTTTTAAGTTCACTTAAATTAGAAGTTATTTTTTTTAAAGTCTAATAAATGTTAAAATTGATAGCTCTCAATTATACAGTACTGTTGGATGGCTATAGTCAATGGTTAAATATTAAGGGGAGGGCAATTTTATAGAGAAATCAGTATTGGTATCACTGATACTGGCCTTCAGTCATAAAAAAGATGCCATTAAACAAATATAAAAAAATATACAGTCTTTATGTTGTTTGTACATTAATTTGAAGATTGAATGTGAAATTATTGCAATATAAAAGTATATATTAAAAACTTTAATGTTAGGTGGGATTTCAGAAAAATGTGCGATTAATTAGTAAAAATGTTTTAAATAGATTGACAGCACTAATATATACAGATCTTATACATAATAAATGTGACCATACATGTTTGAATCTGCATCGCGATATATTATCAACTATAGTAAACTAACTTCAGAAGTTTAACTTGTGACTGCACCAGAGCAAGATAATTTCTTTTATTTGTCCTCTTTCATGGCCAAGTACTTCAGTGTAAATGCATTCAAATTCCTTATATCTTTAATCTCTTAACCTTTAACAAAACATTTTTTTGAACCTCGCTGGCTCTATCGCGTGAAGTAGATCACACTTGCTCTGTGTTGTAAGGCATGTGATTGGCTGTTCGCCACTGATTTTACACATTCATGTGCACGTGCTCCCCAAACTCAGGATCAAAGCCTGAGGTGACAAAGAAAGTTGATGGTCAGCATCATAGTACCAATAAACCTGGATTGGAGTTGTTTGGTTTTGTCAACTCGAACCTAATCCTGTAACTCTGAATTTGTTCATCCACCATCATGGTACAGGCCCCAGGAGAATGAAAGCCTCCTGAACAGCATCTACACACAGCTCTACATCATAGAGGGAGAGAGAGAAGGAGTGAATGAAGAACATGAGGTTTTACAGATGTGGAGGAGAGAGCGTTCAGTGCACAGTACGGACATTAGTGAGCCGAGCGAAAGATAGAGATGGCGGATAAAAAAACAAAAGAGGAAAACGTCTGCGGAACAAAAGAAGGCTTAAGGCAAGAAGTAGGACCCGTGTAAATATCGGATCAGCTTTCCAGTGCTGGAGAGCGGAAGGCCTGTGATCGGACGCCGAGGTTACTTTGTTTCTTCTCGATAGGTGAGTAGCTGTTGCGGCGCAGACACGGTGTTAAAGTCTGTCTAGTACATTGGACGCGACAAAGCGACCATTGAAAATCATTTGAAATTTGTGTCAATACGTTATGAATAGAAAGCAG